CACGAATGATACTGAGAGCCACAATACAATTCTTACACCTCACACACCCATGGCCTCACAACACTCCTTTCTTTATATTCTCATTTTCTCTCTTCTAACAACCTTCTAGCCGCTTTTCTCAAATGACTGTTTTTCCCTTCTAGAGTATACCCGCATTACTCTTGGTTTGGGAACATGCTGTGTTAGTATTTCCCCATTTGTATCATAGTAGGTTTCCATTGTACAACACAAGGTATTCTGCAACACACTTATATTACTACTTGTATATCACTGCCAAATAATTATAAAATAAAAAATAAGGAGAGAGAGTTGCATGTGCATCTTCAGTCATTGAATTTGCATAATCAAGGATGATAATCTTAAAAGATGGGCAAGGATAACCATAACACCTGCATCACATAAGAGACTGCCCATGGAATTCGAAAGACTCAATGGATTCTACGCTAAACATGCTTCCTCAATAGAGAAAATCTGGTCTAATGATAGACTATCTGCACTCAAGAACTTTAAGCCCCGGAAATTCATAAAAGCTGACTTTATCCAGTATACTCTTACAATAAGGAATCAGGACTACGTCCGCACCTAAGCTGATTTCCCATGCATGAATCCAGAAGAAGTCTTTCTGATAGCTAAAGTGTTCCAAAACAAATCTGAAAAGTATCCAAAGATGAAGATAGCATTTGAAAGGGCAAGCACATTTCTAAGGGAAACTGTCTGTGACTTCGCAAAGATTGATGCAGATATTCACCCTATCCTTTCTAAAAATTTCGATCTACCACCACTTGACCCTGCACTGATGTTTACTGAGGGTTATCAAGAAAGATCTCTAGGTGCAGCAAACTTCCCAGATCTTGGAGTCATCTTTAAACGAAAGCTCAATGAAACAAAATATTTCATTCCTATGACTGCCATGAATCGTCTCACAAGGAAGCAAATTGAAGTTTGTCGAACTGCAGTTCAAAAGTCAAAACACACAACTGCCGAAGTCAAGTTCGAAATTTTAAGAAGAATCACCTGATTGGAGAATGTCAGAAAGTTTTGGTGGATACTCATCAAGTTCCTAAAACTTGATAACTGAAGAAAGTTGAAGAGGTCACTTAGGGGGAAATTGTTGAATCATAAAAGTGACCCTCTTAAACTTGGTCTACCGCAGCCCTTGAAAGTCCGCAGTCAACTCTGTTCAGCAACCCCATCCGAAGTCATCATCATCCGCAGTTCACTATCTAGTTTTCTTAGTTTAACTCTTTGTCTACTTTTGTTAGAATACTCTCTATTGTCCAGTATGCCTTGCATGGCTACGCTTAGAGAGTTGAACCAATGTAATATTTGAGTCTCTATATATAGAGCTCAATCTTTCTTATTCAATATATCTGATTACGCATCTTGAATCTCATATCTTGTGCTATTACTCTCTCCTTATTACTCTCAAAGTTCACTTAAATACAACTGAATATTATCTCTCTTCGGAGCAAGTCATTCGTGACTTAA